ACTCAAGGTAGATTTACCGATAATCCTACGCAGTATATGCAATTTTTAAACCGGGATAAGTACATGCAAAGAAAAGATGAAGATCACATAACTATAATAAATAAGAATACGCAAGATACGAAAGCGACTTTTGATTATGTAGAACTATGCAGGTATTTAGAGGTAAATAATCTTGATTTGGATATTCTCAACATGTAGCGGGAAATTGTCAGATATGCGTAATAATTAATTAGCATCTTTTTTTTCTATATACCCATTGAAAAAAACTATATATATTTATTCGATATCAGATGATATAGTCGAACTATCTTCTAAATTTCTACTTGATCTACGTGGACGTGTAGTACGTAATAAGGTCATATTAACTATTAGGATATTCCGTAAAATTAGCAAAGTATTTATGAATTCCTCTAGAATAGAAGGATCGTTTGAATATCTAATCGGTATTTCAGATTCCCGCAAATTATAATAACGATGCACCTCAACCGAATCTCTGATAAGAACATTCAAACGTAATTTACAACCTGCAACTTGTACCCCAACAATTCCAAACTGGCTATTTTCTACCCTACAGCCTTTAAGTGCCCAAAACATTCCATCGTTTGTTTCGTGCCATAATTTCATGCTATCATCTTCCTCCTTTTGTATGGTGCAGATAATTCGCGAACATTCCGCATACATAAGCTCATAAAATTTATCGCTTTCCTTAGAAATAAGCATAATATCTGGCCGTCGCCCCATTCGTTTATCTATTTTTTTTTCTATCCGCACTCGCAAGGCTCTGGCGTTCAAAGCTGAAAAAAAAAAAGTAGCATCTTTCCAAATTTCAGAAATCAATTTATTTGAGATCATTATATATATTATAAGAACTTACGTGGTAATAAATGCACATTCTCCAAAGGGGTTATCAAATAATGAAGCATGAATTGTGGTTACAACTACATTATTTACATAAGTACCTTCATTCAACGATTCAACAAATTCGGGACGAAAAGCTGGATTATCCCAAACATTTCTCATTGTATCCAGAATCTTTAACGCAACCTCCTTAAGCTTATCGTTATTTTCTTTCCAGTTCCCATCATGCGATAATCCTTGATGCAAGCTTAACGTACTTCGTATCATAAAATTCGATACAAATTTACTGCATTCTTCTCGTATAGCTGAAGGAATTATTGGTGGTACCATATCTTCCACCGGTTTCTTAAAATGGATCAGAATTTATCAGTTAAGATAACGCAATCCATTCTATACAGAATTCAAATTTACCCATACCATGAATTTTTTTTTATGTTTCTTTGATAATCATTGGACTAATTGCAAATCATCACTGATAACTCGGCTGGCTAAAGGATCCCTCCAAGTTAGTTCAGAAATTGATAACCCATTCAAAGCGGTAACTAATTCTCGGTGAAGTTTAGATGTACCGTTCTTGGAAAAGTAATATAATGTGAAAAAACCTCTCGATGGTGTTATAAACCGATAAATATATAGCATTAGTTACCATAAGTTTTCCCCTCAACTTTTCTAGATTTTGTTTGATCTTCTCAGAGGTAAGAGGCTTCTCTTTATTCTACGAGTAAAAATATTACGTTACAAACTGTTCTGTTACAAACTGTTCTGTAATGAAATCAATCAATTAGAAAATGAGTCAAATGGATTGACAACAAAATTAAAGCAAACCAAATATAAATAAATGTGTCCAACTTATTATTATTAATGAGGTCAAAAAAAGTAAATGACAATGCAACAATTAGCAAAAGAAGGTATTAAAGGAAGGAAATGAGGACATAAACCAATTATAACCAATAAGGATTAGCAATATCAGAAGTTAAAGGATAAAAAAATAAAAGATTTAGAGAATGATTATAATAATGAACAAAAAAACAAAGAGGAGAGCAAGCAAATAAATAATCAGCAACTAGAGAATGATATTGCTCAATTAAAACAGCAGCTAAATTTTTAAATGATGATAATAAAGAAAACAACCCTGAACAGCAAAACTTATTCAGTAACTTAGAATAAAGTTAAAGAATTAAAGAGTCAAAACTCTAAATCAATGAAAATTATTCAAGAATTAATTAAACAAAAAAAACAAAAATGGTAATCCAAACTCGAAAATTAGAAAGCAAAATTCAACAAATTAAGCTAGATAAAACCTGAAAGTAAAGGTGAAAGAGATGAAAGAAAAGTAAGCTCCAATTATTCTGTATGGAAGTTATTGAATAGGAAAAGAATAATGATATGTAACAACAAAACTTTCATCAAATTCATCCAATTCAGTTATTTCTTGGAATAGATTTAGAAACAATGCCTCTTCAATTCTTTTACAAGTTGACATCTTTTTTAAAAAAACACGTGTAGTTCAGTCCCAAATATAGAAGTTATGGAAACAACTAGGAAATTTCTGCTCAAAGTTGATCCTTATTTCCATTACCTAATAAGGTATTGTACAACAAGGAACAGGAACAGGAATGAAACAACTTTGAACACCCCTACTATATACACATGTCAGTGGTGATTTTGTGTGATATTTCCTTTTTTGGTATGATATTCAATTTTCTATTATGGGTGTTCAGGGTTGTTCCTGTTCCTTGTTATACAATACTTATTAGGTAATGGAAATCAGGATCAACTTGAGCATAGTTGTTTTCATATCTATCTTTAGTACTGATCTAAATAATAAAATTTACATAGTTAATATAAATTATTAATAAAATGTTGGGACATTAGTTCTAAATCTATTTCAAGAAGCAACTGGTTCAGATGAATTTGATGAAAGTTTTGATTGCTTTTTGAACTGGATAAATATTTTGTAGTTGTGTCATTATTAGTAGAAGAAGCTGATCTTTGAACTGGGTAAATACCTTTATTAGTAAAAGCTACTTTCTGAACTGGACAAACACTTTTTTGTTGAGGTTTTTGAGGTTGTTTGTTGTATGGCTATTTTTGGTATTCTTGTTTTCTTGTTTTCATTTTTTTAAATCATTGTTTCTCTGTTCTGTTTTTTGTTCCTTCTGATCAGCCAATAAAATTGGTTTAATCCTGTAACCAGGAACAGGAACAAAACAACTTTGAACACCTAGGTATGGGTGGTTCATTTCAGTTCAGCAAAACCAGTTTTTTGCAAAAAAAAACCAAACTGAATTGGTTCAACCAGTTCAGTGTAACCAGTTATTATTACATTATACATGCAGATCATTCTTTGTAACAACATATTTCTATAATAACAAATTGAATTATTTGATAGATAGAATGAACAATTGTATCATAAGAGGATATTTTAATTATGTTTCCTAAATGAACTTGAATAAACAAATCATTCTCATTCAAAAATAATCATCTTAGGTTGTATATAGTAATGATATGTTGCTTAAAATGTAAAAAAAAACAACAAAATAAGTTGTTTGTAGAAGAGTCAAATTGAATGCAACATAGTAATAGAAGTAGTTATTTTTGATTGTGTTGCTTCCACATTCTAAATTTGAAAAAATAAATCATTTCATTTTAAATTGTATAATAGTAATATTGTTGCTCATCTTTTGTTTTGTACTGCTCATTAAAATGATAATCAATTTGAAAAGGTGAATTGAATTTGGAAAAAAGGCAGGTTGCAAAAATAATCATGGCACCTATTCATCTTGTTTAACATTTTTCAACTAATATAAAAAGGATAGCCATCCTTTTACATCTTCAACATAATAATTAAAAATCAATATAATAATAATATAGTTGGCTCGGTCTAAAGACCTCCTAAATTTTGAGCAAATTTTAAAAGTATAGAAGTCATTTTCTGTCCTACA